TGTAAATAAAACTGTATAATCAACTCCGTGTCTGTGTGTTACTCGCACCCGACGACGCCACAGTATTCATGATTTTATGTTTTAAACTAATTTTAATTATTCGTACTTACTAATTAACTAGTTGTTAACTTGACTCGATATGTAAATTCAAATTTCATTCACACAATTCCGTCTTGTAATTACCTCCGTAAGAAAACTTGTAGCAACATTCAATTGTTTTCATATTTTCCTCGTCACCACGATTCTATCGATCCAGGTAAGTAAGTGAATATCTAGCTGCGTATCGAAGACATTAACAAGCAATAAATTATCAGTAAAAAAGATATATTTTCATTCAGTAAAACAGCATTATTTTGTGTAGAACTACAATACTATCTCACTACGAAAAGTAAAAACCTCGAACGTAAATGGTTAAAGTGGACACGCTTGTTTCAAACGAACTGTACCACTTCGTCTGCCTGCGATAAGGCTATCTCATCGCGGCGAGTGGAGTGGAGTGGAGCGTCGAGGGACGGTGCGGGGCGGGGCGGGGCAGAACGCCGGTTCAGCTGTGTGTGTCTCGGCAGCGTGACGTAACAGCGCGTTGACTCCCGCAGCGTGGAACTTCTTATAGGCCGATTCAAGGGCGCGGCCGCCAGTGCAGCGCTGTATCGCAGCAGCCATGGAGCGTTGGCGCGGACGAGTTGCTGTGGTGACGGGTGCGAGTGCGGGCATTGGCGCTGCCATCGCCTACCAGTTCCAAGACGCTGGGCTCACCGTCGTCGCGTTGGCCCGTAGGAAGGAGAAGATCCCGGTGAGTTTTCGCCAAGCCGTCCTTTATCAACACTTTTTCATAATCTAAATCTAACATTCCTCTGAGGAAATGGCGCTAGTTGTATCGGAATATACGAAATGTGACAAAATGTAAACAATTGTTCCTTCTCGGGGCCCTTCTCAGCTCTTTTCACAATCCTCCGAGGAACTAGTTAGCTAGTTGCAATTGCTTGTAAGAAAACTGACGAAATATAAACAATTGTTCCTCCTTGGGATCCTTTCTCAGCTCTTTTCATAACGTAAATCTAACATTCCTCTGATGAAATGGCGCTAGTTGTATCGGAATATACGAAATGTGATAAAATGTAAACAATTGTTCCTCCTGGGGGTCCTTTCTCAGCTCTTTTTCATAACCTAAAACTAACATCCTCTGAGGAAATGGCGCTAGTTATGGAATGTAAGAAAATGGACATGTAATGGAATGTAAGAAAACTGACAAAATGTAAACAATTGTTCCTCCTCGTGGTCTTTTCGCAGCTCTTTTCATAACCTAAATCAGAATCCTACGAGGAACATGGCGCTAGTTGAAATGCGTGAAAAAAAAACCTGACAAAATATAAACAAACGTTTTTCCTTGGGTATTTCCTAAATTAATTTCGGGGGGAAGAAAATTTGCAACAAAACTCCATTGCTGCTCCAACATTAGTTTGACAAATTGTTTGGTGTTATGAGAATAATCCTTGCAAAAAGGCATCTGTGAATCGCGCACCACTAGTGTTGATGTCAACCCAGTGGTGTATCATTGCCAACAGCCATCCGGGGCGAAGGACGATTTCGCCGCCCCCTTATTTAGGTATTTCAATTTAAAAAGCTAATTTATTCAAGCTTGAACAAGCAGATAGTCAAACATACAGTTACATAATTTCAAAAAAAAGTAATATTTAATACACATTCGAATGTATACGTACACAAATAATACAATTGTCAACAAAATGCAATTATTTAACAACCACTACACCTAGTTATTAACACTAAAATCACTGTTTGGAAAGTGCATACATAGTTACGATTAAGTTAATGTAATTTGGGCGACTGACGATCCATCAATGAAACTTTCTTGAAATTGTCCAAACAGCACTCACGAACATCTCTGAGAGGACTTATCCATACAGAAATCTAATTTGCAGGTGTTATTTCGCGATACCGGAAGCGAAGGGCCAGAATAGACACTGGAATCGAAGAAAATAATTATTCCCAAAAGAATGGTTTTCAAATGAGAACATTTACTTACATTATATAAAAAACAAACGTATCGATCAAAAGTAGTAGGGAGAGGTTACGGGATAACGTACAGCAGTCGACAGTAATATCGATCTTCTGCGCATGCTCGAATGTTAGGATGATTATCATATACATGAGAAACATGCAAGGATGAACATAACCTAAAAATGTCTGGCTTTAAATTATGTACGTTTACAAGACATTGCGAAAACTTCAAGAACAATGCCATTGCAATAGCTCTCCCACAAAGTAAGAATCTGTGTTACACTCTGAATGATACCCACATGTACTCTGATGTTATTTTTTTGCCATCAATATTAATTTCTTAAAATATTAAAAATACATTTACGAACTCATATTTTATCAGTCGACAGTTAATACGTTAAAAAACTTACTTATTCATTTTATTTTATTCCGACCTTTTGGAACCGATTCCAGCAGGAATCATGAGCAAAGGAGTAGATTTCCGATTCCATGGAAATCGCGAGAGAAGAATCGATTCCCACATCTATTCGGTAGAATCGGAAGATCCGTGGTCTATTCTACTGAGTAGGGTGAGCCATGGAAGAACTCTAGCTGCAGTTGAAATTAGGCGAATGCCGCAGTTGACGCGCTTCTGCGTATACATTACGTAACGATAATGCAGTATGCAAAATATACTTGTTTGCATATCCCTCTCACGGTCAATGTCGCCCGGTTGTTTGTGTACCATAAAACGAGTCTTCTAACCTTGGCTTGTTGCCATATGATGTAAAAATAACTGAAGCCCAGGACAGTGCCATTTTCACTGATGATGTATGGTTCATTGGTGTATTTGTTTTTGTTTATTTATCTTCGTATTTTGCTTTTTATTTTTTACGTTACTTCTTTTAAATAATTTAAGGTATATCGTTTACTTTCGAGCCGCCCTATCTCGTTTTGTAGGCGTATACCATCGTTTCGTAATCGGTTGTGGGTGAGTGGTAGAATTATTTGCCATTGTTAGTGATTTGTTTTGCAGCTTGTGCATTTGATGACCCCGTTCTCATTTTCTCTCTCCTCCCTGCTATTCCCCCCTCCAGAACGAATCATTTCCGCGTGCCACAAGCGTGGAGAATCAAAGAGCAGTGCAGCGAGATCGGAAACAATGTTATCTTCAAATTCACTAGAAATTATGTTTTACACTAAATGTTATTAGTAGTGTGATGATTCTATTTTTTTGACTTTAATGAATCAAATTCACGAACAGAAAAACAGAAATACTCTTTTTTTTGTAGGGCCGATGATTCTACGGCATACACCGTAGACTTGAAACATGGCAACTTACTGTTTTATTAAACTTAAAAACACATTTACAATTTCCAAATTAAAAATAAACTTTTATTCACAACAATAACAATAATAAAAATGAAAATAATGATTTTACACAATTGACTACTGAAAAGAAAAATAAACCCAATCTTAATTAGTTCTCTGAAAATGTCCGCTGTCTGTCTATACTTCCAAAAATACACCTTCTTGCTCAAATTCAAATCGTCGTGCACACTCAGAGACATTCAAAATCTCTTCCAGATTCAAATACATATATTTATTGTCAATACTTTATGACATTTAATTTTTCCACAAGTTATATCACACATTTTATCTTTTACTACATAAAACGTTTCGTCCATCCACCAAGATTATAAACCTCTTGCCATTCAGCGAGACGTCTACCTTTGAATTGAAATGAATTTTAATTGAATTCACCCTTTCTCTAGTTGTTGATTACCCGTTGTAATCTGTCCGTCTCTATAGAGTCCGACCTTGCCAACCTGTATTCCAGTCCCAAGCAAGCCGTGCGCATAAATGTCTTCTTGATGTTAAATATCCTTGGCATCTTGACGCGTTACATTAGGGAAGGTATTTTCATGTATACATATTTTATTAGGTAGAGATGCTTGCATTTTTAAAGTTTGCGGCACAATATGGTTGCATTAAAATCGTTTTTATTTTACACATTTTTGTATAGTTACATTTTTACCTATTACTGCACATTTCGTATGCGTTTCATTATATTTTGATACACATACATGTCAAAGGGGAATATTTCGGATTCGAAATGTTTCTGGAATCCTCTTTCTTTGAAACAAAGCAAAGTAATATTGTATTTTTTTGACCTTTGGACATTTAGTGTGAATTGTCAAACTTACCCCTTGCCTTCATTAAATTGATACTCGGCCCCATGGATTGACGGATATATAATAATGAGAAGTAAATCGCAACCTTATGCTTGCTCGTGTTTCGAAACCTGCCAAACATTCCGTACATACTATTGTATTATCGTGCTTCCTACACCCCTGCTAGAAGTGAACACCGCTGTGTCAGTAATAGGGTTGTCAGATGTGTTGCCATGTCTTTCCCCACCAGTACAAAGGAATTTCCCCAAATAACCTCTCCCATGAAACAAAATTCCCTAAACTTTAAAACTAAAAATATTCTCCAAATTATGGACCAACGCCATGAGCTGTCCCTGACGCTTCCATTGGCTGTCCCCTTAAATTCAGACAATACAAATCAACTAATAGAGGTTGAGATCGTTTTCGGGGAAATTGTAGCTATTTTTGACTGACAGAAATTACTTTCTGTTGAATGATACTTTCACCTCCTCGAAACCACGGGAACAGAAGGTTCCCGAAGTGTTATTCTTTTAACCATACAGTCACCCCCCGACAAACAGCATAAGTGATATTTCTTGTTGGCCGCCAAACTTACAATCGAAATAACGATCACAGCAATGCATTAAAGAGGATAAAGTTATCGTTTTTGAAATTTCCGAGTTAACTTCCCCGCACCTAACAAAACAAATTGAGTCATTTGCAGTATTACAAGGTACATCGTCTTGTTAATTTACACAAAACACAATTCGTCTGGAGCCTATGATTCAACAAAGAATTGCATATCTAGCACACATCGTCCGCATTATAGCTACACCTCCTTTATTTTACGGAAGAGTATTTTTGTGTCATTGCGGGTATGGTAGCACGTAAGGAATATGAAGAATTTTGAAGAATTAGTTAAAAATTTACTTATTTTTAAACTATTCCTAACTTACAACTTCGTAACAAGTGCCATTTTGTTTTTGTAGTTAACTAACAAGATCTTTGAAGTTTGGTTCTTAGGTGACAGTTCTTAGTACTGCTCTTTTTGTTTATATTTTGTTTATTTTCGTTCACTTTCATATTTGCTCTTACATTTACCCTAAACGATATAATACAATGTATACAATATACAATGTACAATACGCTTTCACTCATATCACAACAGTGCACTACATGTAATGCGTAAATCTGTCTTCGTGAAATCATCGTTATTCAGCACTTATTGGATGTTTACAAAATTGAAACCGTTGCCAATCGTTATCGCTTCTAGAAAACATCTGTGTTCTCGTACGTCCAAGTCTATCCATAATTGCGATAAAATCTTGAGTATCTGTCGATATAGAGAACAGTTGTGAAATTGGAATCACGATAAATTTTTAACTAATTCTTCAAAACTCTTCATATTCCGTACGTGCTATCATACCCGCAAGGACACAGTCACTTTTAGTTTTTGAAAAATGTGTTTAAATTCGTCGTGATACTCCAATTTCACAACTGTTCTGTATATAACGACAAACTATAAATACCTTGCCATAGCCCAAAACTGAATGCAGTTATAACAAACATGCAGAAAATGACTATACTGTATAATTAAATTACAGAAGTATTCTTAGTTCTTAACTATGCAAAGAATTCCTTC